TTTGTGAAAATAAAATTCCATTTTTTCCGTATTTTACTTATAAATGGACTTAGTTTTTCTGCCGTGAAATATTACATTCACTCTGTGGTTAAAGTTTTTAAAATTTTAATAACTCTCTTAAACTATCCTGGGTTTGTACCAAACTTGGACAGAAGCTTGTTTATGATCATAAGATAGTATCTAGAAGTAAATTTTGTAAAAAAATAAATCCATTTTTTCTTATTTTACTTTTAAATGGACTTAGATTTTCTGCCAGGAAACAACACATTCACTCTGTGGTTAAAGCTTTTAAAATTTTAATAACTTTCTTATACTATTTTGGATTTGTACCAAACTTGGACAGAAGCTTGTTTATGATCAAAAGCTAGTATCTAGAAGGAAATTTTGTGAAAAAATAAATCCATTTTTTCCGTATTTTACTTTTAAATGGACTTAGATTTTCTGCCAGGAAACAACATATTCACTCTGTGGTTAAAGTTTTTAAAATTTTAATAACTTTCTTATACTATTTTGGACTTGTACCAAACTTGGACAGAAGCTTGTTTATGATCAAATGCTAGTATCTAGAAGGAAATTTTGTTTTCTTCCAGTTAACATTACATTCAGTCTGCAGTTAAAGTTTTTAAACATTTATTAGATTCATAAACTATCCTGGATTTTTACTAAACTTGGACAGAAGCTTCTTACAATCAAAAGATAGTATCAAGAGGAATATTTTTATTGATTTACTTCCTCATTTTTGTTGAGCCTGCGATTAACAGAAAAAGTAGGCGAGACACTGGGTTCCGTGGAACCCTTACGAATTTTTATTAATGCGAATAATGCGATTTGGTGATTATCGCAATAAAAGAAACTTGCATTCTGATATCCGATGCATATATTTAAATGCAGATTTTCCTTAAACCGTAATAATTAATCTCGCATTTTTGTCCATTTTTCGGAAATCGCAATAATAAATGCACACAATAATTTCTAACTTTACAGTATTATGTTTCATTTAATTAGAACAAAATGGGGAATTGATAAAGTCTTAGAAGTTTTATATTAAAAAATTATCATTATTTTGTAAATGTTCTAAGCAGACATTTTGGGTTAACTGTAAAACTTAGTAGAGGTTTTCAATATGTAAACATTGATTTTAGTACAGTTACCTGATTTAAGTGGGAGGACATGCAAGTGGCTAAATTAGGTATTAAACCAGTAAGGACATTTAATGTTAGGATTATTAATATATATATATCTGACCTAATGACCTTCTGGCAATCATCATAAATAAGTACATGTAAATAATTGGCATTTAACACCCTATTGTTGACTATTGATTTTTTCACTGATGACCAATTGTAATAAACATATAACATTAAAAACCCTCCTCTGGTTACCTGTAAGGACAAGTAATAAGTGGACCAATTTAAGGACATATTAACATAACAGGTATGTTTTGTTCTTTTCCTACCAATGTATTTACATTTTGCAGGAAAAAAAAAACATTAGTTGAAAGAAAAACAATTAGTTCAATGAAAATTTAGGAAAAGAGAAAACAAAAAATAAGTTTAACCTTGAGAATTTTTTTTAATAATTTTTCACCTAGAAATCCTTTCACTTCTATTCTATAAAAATTTGCATTTTCTTACATAAGCCTGTTAATTTTTTCTTGTCGACTTGAGCATGATGAGCATGGATTAGTGAAGGAAATCACTGTATAAAATTTTAATCAACGAAAAGATGAATTTCATATTAGGCATATCAAGGATCACTATACAAATCCTTGGGCATATATACAACTTGTACATCCTGTTTTTATTGATGAGATGTGTAAATTATGACCAAATAAGATATTTTTTAAGCTGACCTGTCATATCCTATTTACACCATACAACTGACCTGTAGTATTATTTTGCATAAGACCAGACAGATAAGATCATGAACTGCTTGTCATAAAGTACAAGAATATATTTTTATTTCTTCACTATTTGAAAGAAATAGGCTAACTGTTAAAATTGTCTCAATTTAATGAATATTATCAAAATAACTCATAATTATTAATGAAATAGTACATTTTTCCTTGTTTTATACCCGTTTATTTCAGGTTTTGAACAGAATGTCTATTTATATCACTTTTGCAATCCTCAATGGGGTTTTCAAATATAGAAAAAATTAACTGTTAATACTAAAGAAAATAATCCATAAAAAGTATATGTTTGTGCAATTTTTCAGGACTTAAATTTGAATTAAATTTTACAAGGTACCGTTGATGACAATGATACATAGGACGGCACATGATGTTTTTTAAGTTTCTGTATGCATTTTAAATAAAAGGAAAAAGAGAAAGGGAACTTTTTACAAAAGATCATGTCATTTTGTAGATTAAATACAATTACATGCACTACATCTATCCAATTACCGGTATCTTAAAAATGTATGACTTGGCATAATGGGCAGCCCCAGCTTGTATAGGCCAATACCTTTACTTGCCATATGCAGTACAACCAAAATCCTTTAAAGATTTTGATAGAAATGCCACGTAGCTAATTTTTAACCATTTTAAAACAAATCTATCCCAACATAGGGAAAAAACAAGCATTGGTTTATAATTTCTCAGGACAAACATTTTTTTCAGCTAAAATTGAAAGAAAAAATTATTTTCTTTCAATAACATACAGGATCAACAAGTTTTTTTTTTTATCAATGTTGATGTTTTTTCACTAATTTTTGATAGGAACCAATTATTTGTTTCAATGCTCTTGTTAAACAATTTTTTTTCAAGGAATTTAGAATTTAATAGTTTATTAAAAAAAAATGGATGCTTCCCACCTAAAAAATAAAAATTAAAGAAAAGATGAATTTGATACAAGTTATAAATAAAAGTTCACTGTAGATATATATTGGTTTATATTTACTGTTATTGAGAGATCTTCACATCTTTTTACAACCAACTTATAAAGTTGGTCAAATGTAACAACAAGCAATTTATAAAATTATTTATTCAGATGTAAAGGACATTTACAGAGAATGACATGTTATTAATGATGTCTTAAAATCTTGGCAAGACTTCAGTACATTTATTAAAAATACAATTCCATGTGCTTTATGTTTATATCTGTTTTGATCAATACAGTCATTTCATGTGAGAAAAATAATTGAATATTTGGAAACATATAACAATAATTTAAATGCTATTATAACTTCAATAGTTTCTTAAAACTTAAGCAACGATGGAAAAATGCTGATATAGTTGAATGCAAATTTTACAATTTCAACATTTGTGACAGAGATTACTCTTATAAATATGTTCACCCTTTTATCATTCAATTTTTTGCATCTTAAGATTTTTGTAGTTTAAGTTTTCCACAACAGAGTTCTTAACTGCAACCTCAGTAAGAGTTATTTCCCTTTTTTATCATATGCATGTAGCTTATAAGTCTTGTTCTCTCCTATGTCATACAGATATTTTTAATGGTTTTTACTGGTTTGGTTTTTCAGTAAAGTCATATTTTGTGTTGCCAATCTGACACAAATATTTGCTCATCCAATTTCTTCAATAAGCATTCCTGAAATGCAGTTTTAAACAGTCGGATTGAGAATGAAACATGGAACATGTCATAGAGCCCAAGGCCATCGATGGGTCTTCAATGCAGTGAGAAAATCTTGCACCCAGGGACGGGCTTCAGCTGGCCCCTAAACAATAATGTATACTAGTTCAGCAAAATGGACGCCACACTTAACTCAAATTAATGAACCAAAATAAGAAAAACACACAACACTAACAAAGGCTAGAGGTTCCTGATTTGGGACAGGCGCAAAAATATGGCAGGGTTAAACAAGTTTTGTGAGATCTCAATCCTCCCCTATACCTCTAGCCAATGTGTAATAAACATACACACAGTAATATGCACAGTAAAACTCACTTTAAAAGAAGTCAGAGACAGATGTTAGATTAGGTAACAGAAGAAGCTAAGCAAAATGACAATGATCAACATAAATAATTTAACAAAGGAACACTAGCAGTTACTGACATGCCAGCTCCAGACCTCAGTTAAACTGTTTGAAAGATAAGAGTATGTCTTCATCATGTGAAAATCATACATACATTGGAACCAACAGCTCCTGCTTCACAATTTTCCATTGTACAAGGGCATTGAAATCAATAGTGGAAAAAGATTGTTGGATAATATCTGAATGAAACACTTTGTTTCAAAATTCCAATAGGAAACACATATTATAGTCTTACAAAATTGTTAATTTACTACAATAAAATGAATGAAACAGAGGACAGAAGAACCAACTTAGTAAATTTTATAGAGATTTTTTACCAATTATTTTGTTTTTTGATATTTCTCAAACATTCATTGACACTTTGAATTTTCATTTTTATTGACTTTTTTCCATGCAAAGTCAAAAAAAGGGAAACCGCTAGCTTATAGAAATACAGGAATATTTCATGTTTATCACACAGTTGCTTTTGTTAGCAAGTCCATAAATTGACTCAGATAGCATGCACATATTCTATGCACATGATAAGTGGCTAGAAATATTTTTACATATATAAATAAAAGTAATATATAGGCAACATGACTTGACCTTTGTATACAAATGTAGTATTTATATAAATATGAGTTGAATGAACTTAAAATAAAAAAGAATGTTAAATCTATGTAGGGACATTGATTTTTATCTCCTCTAGACCAACGCCTGTTTGTTAGTATTAAAACAAGTTATTGCCATGATTTTACTGTTTTCCTGGCCTCTTCAGATGATTTTGCAGTTCAGAAAAAATCTGAAAATGTGCCCAGACTTAAGTTAAAGGAGAAATTGTCTGGTTAAGTGCTCTGATTTAGGGGTAATCAGATTAATCCAAAGGAAAATGTGTGCTGATTTTGGTTTTAAGAGTTTCATTTACCTTACCAGGGGAAAATGAGATAAATGAAATCAACTTGTTCATGGAAACCATGAAAATTATTGGAATTTTTTTTTATTGCATTATCACTTTTTAATTTCAGTATTAAATAATCTCAGTTAAAAATAAGAGAATGGAACCTCAAGTGAAACGTTTAAAGACTTGGCATGCAGTACCAATGTCAGAAATGGCTAGTAACACATTTAATCCAATCAGAAGTATTGTGGATGGAATGAAAATAACACCCAATCCAAAGAAGCCAATGATTGCATTATCAATAGGTAATTTATTTTTATTTTAAAGAATCACACTGAACAACGCAGTTAACACAAACACTTTGAATATTGAAGCAGACACCTGTCAAACATGGACATGTCCCATTGTTTACCCAAAATTTGACACATCTACTGCATGCATGTATAATTTACATGTATGTTTACAATTGCGCAATTATTTTAACCTTAACATTTTATAATACATTAGTCACTGTTCAACTTCTATTACATAAAACATTTTAAAAACCTATGTTTGAATCTGATAGTGTAAGATTGTTGTAATGGTACATGCAATTGTGGACCTAAAACTTATGATGCAATCATTGAATAAAAACTTATGATGCAATCATGGAATAAAAACTTATGATGCAATCATGGAATAAAAAATTATGATGCAATCATGGAATAAAAACTTATGATGCAATCATTGAATAAAAACTTATGATGCAATCATTGAATAAAAACTTATGATGCAATCATGGAATAAAAACTTATGATACAATCAATCATGGAATAAAAACTTTTGAAACAGTCATAGAACAATACTCCTGATACAATAAAAAACTAATAAGTGTGGAAATGGTGATTACAATGGGCTCTTTGGGGTTTACTAAATTACAGAAAACCAAATCTATGGTAATTGAACCACATATAAGAAAATGCCTCAGTTTAGAAGCAAGCCATCATATACATATCCAAGTTTACGATATTGACAAAAGAATTGAAGAACATGTTACTATTACAGTGTACTTGAATTGAATTGAGCATATTGACTCAGATACTTGAAACTTCACAGAAGTTTGCACACATATTGAAATCGTGCATGCACCTCTTATTATTTAGTTGATTTTTTTATCTCTTTTTTTCATTTAAATTTCCATATATTTAACAGTTCATTTACAGATAACTCTCCCATTGTTTAAGAAAAATTCTGTACAAACTGGCCATTTAAGCAGTTGATTAATTTCTCAACACTGACTGTTCACACTGAAAATCTTACTTCAAAATTTTGGGTTAATTAGTATTGAAATCTGAAACACAACTTTATATTTACTTTTACCTTACTTATATCAAATCAATTTTTTTTTCACTTGATATTCAAAGGAAGTAAAAGAACAACACTTATTTAATAGAGTTATGTAACATTTTTGGTTATCTCTCCTTTTTTTTTGTTTGAAGTTTTTTTCCTTGATGTAGTCCTTTTTATCTATAGAAATTATTCCTTTTAATATAAAAGTAAGGAGATGTGGTATGATTTCCAATGAGACAACTATCCACCAGAGTAAATTTAATAATTTGTTTTGGTGGAAACTCATACAAGATTTCCCCCCATTCATTTTCATAGCACTGAAATACAATTGAAACATTCATAAGTAATTTGCTTGCAGGTGATCCAACAGTATTTGGGAATTTGCCTATTCCAGAAGAAATAGACGAGGCTGTGATTGATAAAATCAGATCACACAAATACAATGGTTACAATCCATCTATAGGTAAGTTACTTAATTTCAGGTCTTAGTTTATAGTCCGGTTTTGGGCTCCATCCATCCAAGTTATAAACTTTTTCATTTTATAGATCATTGAAAAATCACTGTAATGCCGATTATGATATTTCATATAATTCCTCTTTTCAAATACTCAAACCACAAAAGTGGGACTGGGTTAAGATTTCATCATTTGTTGGGGGAACTAAAGTGGCAAAGTACCAACACTGCATCAATAAATAAGCTTTCAAGACAGTGTGATGAGTGGGTCAAAATTTCAGCAGAATTTCATTCATCTATTTAAAAATAAGAAGATCATCCTCACCTATTAATATTTGAAAAGACCAGGATGTCTTAATATGCAAGGCACAAATTTTGACTACAGTAAACATTGGAAATCTGTGGAACACTATTCATCCACTAAATTTCATTGGAGGATTTAAACATGTTTTTATTAGGTTTTCCTTCTCTGGAACATTAAATCTGTCAAAAATATGGTAAATATTCATAGTTTAATTTTTTTTAATTATAAAAATTTTTTACCAACAATTTGATTATGGTCTGCGGATATCTTCATTTAATAGAATTAACAATAGTTTCCAATGGCTGGGCAATTAGTTTAAAGTAATCATAGATATATGTTCTTAAAGTGAAGTCCAAGCGAAATTCAAAATATGCAAGCAACATCAAACTTAATATTATGTTCAGTAATATTATATTTTACAAGAAATCTGAAGTATTTGTATACTTTAAACAGGGTATGAAGAAGCTAGACAAGCTGTAGCCGATTACACATCTACACATGATGCCCCAGTTACATCTAAGGTAAGTACACAACTACACAAAATACTTAAACACACATCTTCAACATATGCTCCACATAATAACAAATGAGTACCCTTCTTTATAAGACCACTCTTCTAAATGCCTTTGTAATATGCCCTGGTTATATCAAACATTTGAAAGAATATACAATTCAACATCTTCACTTTATGCTTAAGTCTCTAAATACCGTATAGAGGGTTTATTTTCGCTTATTTTGGCGGGTAAGGGGAAATCGCGAAATTAAATTCCGCGAAAATTTATGCATACGTTCTGTACTTTCTAATAGCTAAAGCGTTTTATAAACTATTTATTTCTCCCGCTCGTCGAATTAATATTGGTTTATGTTAATTTAACCAACATAAATGCGAAAGGCCATTGTTCCCAGGCTGTCAGGTGTTAATTAGTTAATTGGTTACATAATAAAATGATTAATAATATTAGAGTGTAAGGTACTCTGTTAGGTATTTTATCCTTATTAATTAGTGTCAAATTATATAAGAGTCGCAAGTCACTCATGATAATTTTATGATCTAATTAGTGCATCAAAGGTCCGGTCAATTTCGTAGCTAATCAACCGTAACATTTACCAGAGGTTTGTACACCTGTGACAAATATCTAAGTACCGGTATTCTATTGATTAACTGTATCAAATATAATCAATGAATATAAAGGCGTCATGCAGGTAAAACAATCATTTAACCATAACAATAGATACTTTTATTATAAATCAATATGTGACACTTACATAAACTATTATTTATCTTATCTCTCTATCTCTTGTCAACTTTTACAATTTTTTAATTGCAACCATTTCAGTATCCGCCAAAATATTTAATAGGGATTAAAGAATCCGCCAAAATAAAAACCGCCAAAATTTTTCGTATACTTTGTTGCCCCTAAATCGCGAAATTTTACACCCACCAAAATAACCCGCTATACGGTAACATATTCGTATCAATAAACTTCTACATATGTATAAAGTTAAGGTACAAATTTTCATTGTTATAAAGTACACCCCTGTCATTCTTGAATTACATCTGAAGTTAACATTCTTATAAATAATTGTGTATATAACTAAATATCTACACCTTATCCTCAAGTTAAAGGAAAATTGTCCATAAATTTAAACCACTACCAACTACACTGATTACCAAATCATATAGTCAGAACACATTTTCATAACTCAGCTACACATATACATATGCTGTTCCAATCGCATCAAAAGTTAAAAAAAACATGTCTTCATTTTAGTTATATCACATGTATATCTGTTGTATGAATACACTCAATACAGTTAATTTTCCATGAGAAGTGTATAATTTGTATTCTGAATTCTGCATATTCAGAAAAAGTAAGTATTAGTTTGTAATGTTGTTTTAAAATAAACAGATGTTGAAAAGTTTTAAAATCCAATTTTTCTATTCTTCATTTTTGTTTGCTCTATCTGGCTGTTTAGAGTACTGTAAACTCAGAAATTATTGCATGCATTTAGTAGTATTGCTATTTTTGTGAATGAACAAAAATGTGAGATAACTTATTGTGATTTCCGGAAAAATCAGCATACAGATATATGTATCAGATATCAAAATGTTAGTTCTTATAGTTGCGATACTCATTCAGTTGCATTAATCATATATAATTATGAAAACCTCACAATTATTTCTGAATTTATAGTAATTAGATCAAAACGTCAAGTCTTATTTATTTTTCTTTCAGGATGTAATACTGACCAACGGTTGTTCCAGTGCTTTAGACTTGTGTATAACAGTTCTTGCTAGTCGTGGACAGAATATTCTGATACCAAGGCCTGGATTTTCTATCTACAAAACTCTTGGAGAATCTCTTGGTATCCAAGTCAGATTCTATGATCTGTTGGTAGGTATAGGAGAATATGCAAGTTAAGATTTTCCTTAGTAAACACTTAATTTAAGGAAATTACTCCCTTTATACCTAATTGATATGCATAAAACATCTTAAACTTGGTATTTCTTAAGTTATAAGTAACACCAAAAAAACTTAATTGGTATGCATAAAACCCCTTAACTAAGACAACACATCAGATTATCCTTAAATAAGTAAAAGGTACTTATGGAGGTAAATTTAATAACAAAAGTAGCTTGAAATTTAAAAGCAAGAAAACAAAAGTAATTTACAATTCATTGTTACTTGTAGCCTGAAAAGTCCTGGGAAGTGGACCTCAAACACATGGAATCTCAGATGGATGAGAATACAGCAGCAGTCATTGTTAACAGTCCATCCAATCCATGTGGTTCTGTATACAGCAGACGACATATAGAGGAGATATTAGAAGTTCTAGAGAGAAACAGAATACCTATGATTGCTGATGAAATCTATGAACATTTTGTAAGACTTTATAGTATATTTGTTATAGCAAGTAATATTTTTCAAGTTGTGGCTAATACATTAAAACAATTAACATCAATTTGAAAAAATCAAATAAGCAAAGCAACCATGCGATATTTTACATAAACATAAGTTGTAAAGAGGTGAGTGGATTAGGAATTAATAGAATCTGATATTGCTCATGAACTGTAAACCGATCAATAATGTATAAGAAAAATTTTATAGTATGAGTATAACAAGCTTAGATTAAATTTTTAATAGGCTGTTTTAGAATCTTAAGGACTGTAGGTAATTTTATTCTCACCTGAAAATGAAAAAAATCATCAAGCCATTGGGTGCATATTAATTGTTTAGGACCTTATTTACCAATCACAGTTTTTTGGTGTACACTTTTTGAAAATTTTATTTAGAATAGTTTTAGGTCATAAAACATGGCAATGCAGATGTCACTATAATCCTTACATACACATTAAATAGATCTTTATTAGTGTACATAACATTATTTTTAATAATGCAGTATGAATCGTAAAATGTCTAAAAGTCACATTTTTTATTGAGATATTTATATTTATAGGTATTTTCTGAGAACAAGTACCATTCCATGGCATCAGTATCAAAAACAGTGCCTATTTTATCCTGTAGTGGTCTGACTAAAAGGTGAGTTAATAACGAAATCAACTTCTGTAGAGCTAAGTTTACTTACTTTGAAAAAGAGAGTTTGAAGTGCAGTTTATCATCAGAATAATGAATATAGTATAGATATTAGTATCATATGAACATTTCATTATGTGAGGAGGCCAGGCAAAATTTATTTTCAGTGTGCAAAGAGGATACTTTATAGAAAAGTTCTTGAAATCCCCAGTTCTTATCTGCATTTAGAAAAAATCTGATTATTATAGTATCCCTTGCAGAAAATTTCTGTCAAATTGTTGATACACATTTTAAAACAGTATTGGGTTTTTAGTGAGAATGCTCTTTGCACACATAGGAAAATGGTTGAAAATTATGGGTTACTTGAGAAAAAAAATTTTCACCATCAAGACATATTTTATTTTTAAGTTATGTATTCAAGGAAATATGGGTAGTATGTCAGTGAGAAAGTTAACTATATATTATATATATAATTTTCTAAATTTTGAATCGTTATGTAATCATTCATGATTTCATTTCACATTGTAAAAAATACTATTTTGTTGTATATTTATGCACACATTAGTTGCAAAATGTATTGTTCCTTACACATTATAATATACATCTTACACATCAACTAATATTACCACAAATCTTTTCTAAATAATCATATGACCATATCTTGTAGTCCAATAAAGCAATTATGAAACATTATGAAATACATCTTCATATGCTGTTCAACATGCTCTAGTTGCTTGCAATCTTTCATGAAAATTCATACCATTACCCCTTTATCTGTATGTACCTGTGTTACTATATAACAGTTATGCCACACAAATTTGGATTATTGTTCTTTGGATTTTACTTGCCATATGAAATTTTCAGGTTCAGTATTTGAAAAGATTACCCCAAAATATTTTTCAAGTTGTCTTTGGACAAAAAAATTGCTAAATCACACCTTTATTTGATATTTTTACTTGGGAAAAATATTGATGAAAAAATCTGAGCCTGAACTTTGGACTTTCGAACTTTTAAAAGAAAATATGTCATTTAAAAAAAAATAAACCTGAATTATTTTCTAGCACCTGTTTGATAAAAAGTTACAACTGTTTTGACCTTATCTTCCCTGAGTTTCAAATTGCAACGAACAAAAAAAATCCTACTTGTGTGGCCTTAAATACGCATTGATATACTAAATGCCAGAGAGATATCTTCCAAATCAGATTTATTTTACAAAAAAAAATATGTTGCCATTGAACTACATAGAACAAAACATGAATGAATAAAAATGCTATAATTAATCTGTTTTATTGCCTGCCAGTATTAGGCAGTTCCTTGACTGTTTTTTCTTTGTATTCAGAGGGGAGTTTAAACATTTTAGTCAGAAGCTGTGTGTGATTTAGAAAGTTATATGAAGGTGAGAGAGTCGGTCAGGCAATAGATTGCTTGTACCTGACTTAATATTGGGATTGTTGTTTTTTTTTCTGGTTTATATCTTGCTGGTATCATTCTGATTGCTAATTAGATGAAAGTTATATCTAAATGATGTCCAATGATGGCTGATAGTTTTCATAACTTTGTATGGAAATACCCACGTCCTGTCTTCACATGTGAACAGGATATTCTTTCCATGATTTCAATGTGCAAAAATTTTGATTCAAAACATATAGGAGAGTCAAATAATTATAAGAATCATAATAAATTTTAGTCTGTGAAAATAAGTTGGATTTAAAATCCTGCAATTCTGTTGCATTTATTTGTCACTTAACCTTAAATAAAACATTTTGCCTTTGTGATCTTATCATTCAATTAATAAATGAGATTTATTAAACATGAATTAAATATGTGGGCATTATGTTTGAAATTTAGGATTCAGATGAATAAGCAACCAAATTTAACTGCAAGTGAAATGAATAATCTTATTTTCTGTTACAGATTCCTTGTCCCAGGATGGAGAATGGGTTGGATTGTTGTACATGACAGATCTAATGCTTTTCATGAGGTATTTACACATTACAAAAATATTTAACTGTATCATGTTACAGTTAGAATATTTTGATTTAAACATTCAATTTTCAGGAGCAGAAGTCACAGGACAAAATACAGCCAGTCAATAGTTCACTGGATCAAATAAGCTGGCTTTTGTTCTAGACCCTAAAAGCAGTTCATGAATTGGATTTTAATGCAAAAGCCAAAAAAACAAAAATCCTAAATACATTCATGTTCAAGATAAGTGGCAGGTGTGTTCGACTCCAATCTTAATTGACTGGGATTGTCAGTTTTCCTGCTGAAGGTTGGTAGTTCTCTCCGGGGACTCTGGCTTCCTCCACCAATAAAAAACTGACCGCCTCAAAAAAGCCAACAGTGCTGAAAGTGGCGTTAAACACTAATTAATCAATTAATCAAGATAAATAGATAGCATCTGATATTTTTCAAGTGCAATGCTAAAATAGACTTGAAGGAATCACGACACTGTTGAATTGTATACATATTATGTAAAGTTTAGTATGAAAACCATTTGATTTAGAAGTTAGAACATTTAGATGGTTTCTCTCCCTGTCACTTTACTTTGTAAACAGTTGTGTGAACACTTGGATTCTAGAAAACTCTGACATGCTAGCACATTTATTCACAACTACTGGAAATAACGCTTTAAATTTTCTATATCTTCTGTTCGCCCCTTAAAATTTCTGGTTAACTGTTTATTTATTCATGCTTTGACACATTTCCCATTTCCGTTCTCAATTCTACATGTTTAATTTGTATAAAAGTAAGTTGAGTCCAGGAATAGTAATAAAAAAAGTAACTCACCTTTGATTTGAAAAACATGAATATTTAAACATTAAAAGATACCATTATATTGGTTCATTCTAACTAATAGTAACATCTCTAATGTTTTTATTTTGATAGATCAGAAAAGGACTGAATTCGTTGTCACAGAGAATTTTAGGTCCTAACTCGTTGGTTCAGTCTGCACTGAAAGATATCCTGAAAAACACTCCACAGAGTTTTTACGCAGAAACCCTGGAATATATAGAAGATAATGCCAAACTATTCTACAAACTTATATCAGAGATACCTGGATTAAAACCAGTCAAACCTCAAGGAGCAATGTATATGATGGTAAGTGTAGAAAGTGATATTTTCTCAAAGGGTCAATCACGGCCATGAAAATCCTCGAAAATATAAAGTTAGAATTAAGATACACATACCAATTTAAAGCAAAAATATTTGTTATAGAGCTAAATATGACTGGAATTTATTCACTTTGATAAAATCCTTGAAGTGGATACATATGCAGTATTGTTATGATATAACACATAAAATGTAAAGACTCTCATACAGTGGGATATCCAGTGAACGAAAACAAAAGAAAATTCACTCTTCTTATGATAGAGTCGAGAAAGTCAATAATAAAACAATAACGGTGACGATACCGATCAAAAGTTATTTCTAAATAATAATTGTACATTTTAAAGAAATTATTTATTAAACTGTGTTATTAGAAATATACATGCAAATACACGATGTTTTATGTTCAGTATTTATCGAGATAATTGCTTTAGAAGCTTGTGAAACTGAAATTTAAAAACTACCAATCTTTGCTGCATATTGATAAAAAAAATTGGAAAAAATCATGAACATACAAAATCGAAAGATCTTTCGGGTCACCAATTTTCTGAGTGTTCCAAAAAGTCCTTAGCATGTAACAATTTTCAAAAGTATGCTTTTTAAGCCCCTGCCGTAGCAGTGGGGGCATGAAGTATTACCCTTGTCGTCTGTTCGTACGTACGTACGTACGAACATGCGTCCCAAATTTGGTTTTCCGTTCTCTAACTTGAGTTTGCCTCAACCAAATGTTATGAAACTTATACACAATGCTTATTACCACAAAATACAGATCAAGTTTGAATTTTTGTGGCGTCACTTTAACCGTTCTATAGTTATGCCCCTTTATAAATGGAAAAATTGCAAAATTTTTAGTTTCCTTTCTCTTACTTAAGTTTGCCTCAACCAAATGTTATGAAACTTATACACAATGCTTATTACCACAAAACACAGATCAAGTTTGAATTTTGGAGGGATCACTTTAACCGTTCTAGAGTTATGCCCTTTATAAATGGAAAAATTGCAAAATTTTTAGTTTCCGTTCTCTTACTTCAGTTTGCCTCAACTAAATGTTATGAAACTTATACACAATGCTTATTACCACAAAACACAGATAAAGTTTGAATTTTGGTGGCGTCACTTTAACCATTCTAGAGTTATGCCCTTTATAGATGGAAAATTTGCAAAATTTTTATTTTCTTCTAATATCAAGTAATTCTTAAAATTGGAGTTATCTTCCTTTGTCCATGATTATAGTTGAATCAACTACAATCAATGCTTTATACAATGCAATGTTTAATTTTGACTTCCACTGATAAAACACAGATCAAGTTGAATTTGGGAAGTGTCACTTTAACCATTATTGAGTTATGCCCCTTTATAAATCGAAAGATTGCAAATTTTTTAGTTTCCATTCTGTAACTTAAGTTTGCCCCAACTTTGCAAACATTATGAAACCTATACACAATATTCATTACCACAAAACTAAGATCAAGTACAAATTTTTTGTTTCTGTTTTCTAACTTTAGTTTGCCTCAACCAAATGTTATGAAACTTATACACAATGCTTATTACTACATAATACAGATTATGTACGAAATTTGGTGGCGACACTTTTACCATTCTTGAATTATGTCCCTTTATAAACATAAAAATTGCTGAAATTTTTCGTTTCTGTTCTCCAACTTTAGTTTGTCTCAACCAAATGTTATAAAACTTACACACAAGCGTTCTAGAGTTATGCGTGTTTACAATTAGAAAAATTGCTGAATTTTTAGTTTCTGTTCTCTACTTAAGTTAGCCTCAACCAAATGTTATGAGACTTACACACAATGCTTATTACCACAAAACTTAGATCAAGTTCAAATTTGGGTAGCGTCACTTTTACAGTTCTTCAGTTATGTCCCTTTATAACTATATGATATGCAAGCGGGGGCATCATCTGTGTCCACATGTGGACACTATCCACATTTATTTTTCACACCTAAGTTATCGAGCACACAGGTCTGCTCTTGTCACATGTACATTCAATAGAGAACTATTATCTTTTCGTGAATATAAACAATTAAAAGTCTGTCTGTGCAGGTTTAAAAATTAAAGATAACTATTTTTATAAAGTAGGTATCTTTCTACTATTTTGTATACAATTTTAAGAAAAGGTCGTCTCAAGTTTTGTACAAGTATTTAAGTCTTCTCGATCTTTTCACATTCAATGTTTACATTGAGATAAGGTCTATTTCATTTTGCTTAGTAACTTAATTTTAAAAGTGCCAATCTTTGCTATATATCAATCAATTCCTTTGAATTTTTTTCCCTGACTTTCTCTGATCTAACTGTATATATATATACGAATAATTAGCATGTTCCAGAGATGTATACAGACAGTAAAAAATAAATTGGAGTTGGTACTCCAGGAATTTATTCGCATAGCAACATTTTAAACCAATTTTACTCCAAACATCTTTAGCCTGCTGCACTCGTTTGCTACTTAAGGAGGAACATTGAGTGGAAGTTTTGTTTTTATTTCAATTTTTACTATTTACCAGAACATTTTTCCGTGAATCCATAATTGATAGCGTCCTTGCTAAAATGGGACAAACATTGAGAAGATCTAGTTTTCAGTGTTTACAGGGGAGGTAATATTTGGTCACTAGATTTCCCACTGCATAGCAACACCTTAGAATTGTTAAATTAACATTTTTGGGGCCTTGTTGGCCTAATGTTCTAAGTAGTTCATTTTCATTGATTACTAGCCTGTCAACTCTTGAGATTGAAGCATGCTCATGGCGAGGTGTGTTCGACTCATATGTTAATTGAAGAGGATTGTCAGTTTTCCTGCAGAAGGTAGTGGTTCACTCCAGTTACTCTAGCTTCTTCTACTTATAAAAACCTGCTGCCATATTACCAAGGGAAGTGAAAGTGGAGTTAAACACCAACAAACAAACAAGTAACCAGCACAAGCTCTAACCTTTATAAGCTGTCAAAAGTGGATTTTGGAAAAAAATTCTCTTCAGATTGCTAGTAAAATTTTTTAATTTGAGTTGAATTTGGATATATTTTTGACACTTACAGAATGAGTTTGGGTTTCATTCTTGTGGACTCTCTTTTCACAAAAGTTTTATTTTGAATTCAAATGATCAAAATTTATTGTTCTGATTGACTTATTTTTCCCATTCATCAAATACATAATGAATAACTTCTCAGTTTTGAAATAAAGCCACACTATTAACCCAGAAACACAGTATTGCCTGTGTAAGTCCCTAGTACACTTCACCTTTCATATGAATTCCCAGAAATGTAAATTAAACAATAAGAGTGCAGGAATTTGTGTCATAATGACATATCTATTACAATATGTAGAATATGACTGCTGTCATTATTTCTGTTTATTTTTTTGCTGCAGGTTGGAATTGATACAGAAAATTTTCAAAATATAAAAGATGATGTGGATTTTACAGAAAAACTTGTTTCTGAACAGAGTGTGTTCTGTTTACCAGCCAAAGTAAGTGGGTTTTTTTTATGAAAAAAAAAATCAAAAAATAAGGCAGAAATTTATATTTGCCCTGTTGGTAACCTTTTGCCACATAAATGGAATATAAGAAAAAAAAAATTTATGCTTTCAAATGATTCAAAGATTTGAAACTTCAAGGTTGAAATATTATCATTTATACCCTACACTGCCATCTTATGTTTAAGAGCTTGTTAGTTGCAGAAATGATAAAAAAAAACCTAGTTTGAAGAATATTTAATTTATAATGCATTTTGAGAAAAGTCAAATCTGCAAATGTGTCATCAAATTAAAAGTGGGGTAATTATGTAGCAGTATATTCCGCATTGTTACTTAGCAACACTATTGTGATCATATGTAGTTTAGATAAAGATTTTGTTATGTAAATACATTCTTCATAACTTCATTAGATTATGTCAAGGGTCGTCAATTGGTGATTTGATGGTCGCAAATTGTTGTTGTCATAAGTGATAAGTGAACATGTAGTCTTGAAACTTTAATATTGAGCAAAATGAAGACCCCTCTCTCTTTCCCCAAAAAGGGATCCAGATCATAATACTTTTAAGGTAAATAATTCAATAACAGCATTAATTTTGGGCACCATGCTGTGGATCAGAGCATATTGATGTTTATACATTTCCAGATGACTAGGTAGTTCAGTATATAGCGGTGGTGCAAATGTAATCTTTACCTCAGGTAAGGGGACATAATCTTTTACTGCGGATTCATTTATTTTAGTGGCTATCAGTTTTCGTGGATTGGGTAAATCTTCCATTTTCATGGATATTTATGCCCCCGCCGTAGCGGTGGTGTCATTAAGTTTTACCCTTGTCCGTCTGTACGTACGTCCGTTCGTCCCAAAATTGGTTTCTGTTCTCTAACTTGAGTTTGCCTCAACCAAATGTTATGAAACTTATACACAATGCTTATTACCACAAACACAGATCAAGTTTGAATTTTGGTGGCATCACTTTAACCGTTCTAGAGTTATGCCATTTTATAAATGGAAAAATTGCAAAATTTTTAGTTTCCGTTCTCTAACTTAAGTTTGCCTCAACCAAATATTATGAAACTTATACACAATGTTTATTAACACAAAACACAGATCAAGTTTGAATTTTGGTGACGTCGCTTTAACAGTTCTAGAGTTATGCCCCTTTATAAATGAAAAAATTGCCAAATTTTTATTTTCTTCTAAATATCAAGTAATTTTTAAAATTGGAGTTATCTTCCTTTGTCCATGATTATAGTTGAATCAACTACAATCAATGCTTTATACAATGCAATGTTTAATTTTGACTTCCACTGATAAAACACAGATCGAGTTGAATTTGGGTAGTGTTACTTTAACCATTATTGAGTTGTGCCCCTTCATAAAACGAAAGATTGCAAAATTTTTAGTTTCCATTCTGTAACTTAAGTTTGCCCCAACCAAACATTATGAAACCTATACACAATATTCATTACCACAAAACTAAGATCAAATACAAATTTTTTGTTTCTGTTTTCTAACTTTAGTTTGCCTCAACCGAATGTTATGAAACTTATACACAATGCTTATTACTACATAATACAGATTAAGTACGAAATTTGGTGGCGACACTTTTACCATTCTTGAGTTATGTCCCTTTATAAACATAAAAATTGCTGAATTTTTTAGTTTGTCTCAACCAAATGTTATAAAACTTATATACAATATACTCGAGTTATGCGTGTTTACAAATAGAAAAATTGCTAAATTTTAGTTTCTGTTCCCTTCTTAAGTTAGCCTCAACCAAATGTTATGAGACTTACACACAATGCTTATTACCACAAAACTCAGATCAAGTTCAAATTTGGGTAGCGTCACTTTTACATTTCTTCAGTTATGTCCCTTTATAACTATATGATATGCAAGCGGGGGCATCATCTGTGTCCACATGTGGACACTATCCACATTTATTGATTTTGTGGTTTTGCCAAAATCTGCATACAACCAACCAAAACATTTGTAATTCTTTGAACATTAAAATTCGTGGTTCACCTGTAGCCACGAAATCCTCGAAAATTAGTATCCCACGAATTATAATGAATTTACCGTATATGATTATACATTTTTTCTTATGTTGGGAGTTTTTGCTAATTTGTTTAATTTTATGTTGTAGTGTTTCCAGTATCCAAACTTTTTCCGTATAGTGTTAACTATACCGAAAGAAAAAGTTGAAACAGCTTGTGAAAGGATTAAAGAGTTCTGTGACCAACACTATAATGGTGACAGCCGATCCTATATTTCCCGTTGATCATCGACTGTGATAATACTGTGATAAAGTTGTATTTTATTAAATCAAAGGACTACTTTGATTGGTATGGTACCATGATGCAGAGTGCAGCTAACTTTTATAATTGACAGTATTTTGCATTTTCATGACACAGGAATGTGTTTTAATATTGATATTTCACCAATTTTTTATTTATATTCTTGTTGATTATACATATATTTGGACATTTTCTAATGATAAATTGTGTTCGAATATCCATTATTTCTTGAATTAAATAGTTTGTCACTGACACCAGTGATTCTTGAATGCCTAACTCACTTTTGCTACCATTTCATAAAAATCATCTCCGTAATATTTCAGCATATAATTACCAATGAACTGAATTAGCCATTGAGAAATTTTGCTTGATTTTGCGTTACTTATGTCCCCATCATGATGCAGTAATTCATTTACATGGGTCATATAAAAGATTAAAATAAAGTTTTGCAATAAAAAGTAATTCAGCGTGGTTTAAACAATTAAGCCATAATTTATCAAATTTATTAAGTAAGCTTTGTTCATGCAAAGAATAATTTAGATGTCCTCAATAGGCAGTGATTGCTATAGATAGGTGACTGCTAAGGCAGGTTTGCAACAATTGCACTGCCTTTGTAAGAAATTTACCAAACAGCATCAGATGCATGAATCTAGTCATATGATATATATACAGTTTTTTATGAATTTTAAAAAGAATATGACCAGTCATGAATTTATTTAAGAGATTTTTTTTTATAGCTTTACTTCTTATTAGTATTTGCTCATAATATCCGGTTATTTCATCTTAATGTATAAACAGTTAATAATTAGAGTAAAATGGTACTTGTTTGTTTACTTTTCATTGTGCCAAGAATGTATTTTAAAATTATTGTACATATTAATTGTTATTATTTATCTCCGGTTTTCTGTTTTGATATTTCAGCAGCTATTTAAATATCTCGTTCAGCTAGGTAACTTACACATTGTTTTATATTAGCATATTGACCAACTCTCTGGTTGTTGAATCTCGTAAAGTGAAAAAATCAATCTGATTAATATAAAGATCCTGTGGCCAAGCTTCGTTTACAAGAATCTGTCAAACACCCTATTCTACTTTCTGTTCTGGTAATAGTTACACCAATGAAATTTCAGTCTTCAAATTTTTGAAGGTGTGTATCATTACGACAAAACAAGAAAATTATGAAGGATCTCTAAAACAGAGAGTAGAATGGAGCTTTGTAAGATCCTTGTAATTAGTGAAGCTTTGTAAGATCCTTGTAATTAGTGAAGCTTGGACACAGGATCTGTATTTTAATAAGATTGTTAAAACATCACTGTATGACCAAAGTTTTTAGGATTGTTTGTTTTTATTTTTACTTATTTTTACTTTCTTTGTTATTATTTACTTTTGTTTTGAGATATTTCTTGTACATGTATATATATCTATTTGAAACATTCACATGTATATATTCCTATTTGAAACATTTCACATGATTTTTTTTCCATTTGGGAAATTATGTATGTATATATGTATACAATAGATAAAGATATGTATTCATGCATTTATACAACCTATCGATACTAAATTCAGTTGATGTACATGGTCAATTTGAAGAAATAATTTTTTCTTCTGTATGTGAATTAACTGAGTGTTTTTAAATATGCTTATTGCACTGTTGATACAGAATGTGATCTAGATTTTACCATGTATAATCAATTATTAATATATGCAAATAATTGAAAAATAATAATAAATTAGAATGCCTTCCAATCGGATAAAGGGTATATACAACCAAATGTATTGGATAAAGACTATGTGATACAATTTTTGATGAGCAGCTGCATCTAAATTAGATATTCAAGAGACTAGTTATTCAGGGTTATATCTTAATGGTTGCATAAAGGACAATCTATAATCTTAATATAATGTACAGACAAAATTATTTTTAATTCTTAATGTTATTGTCTTGAATCATGTACCGGTAAGACAAATAAAAGTTGAGTTTGTTTTGTTGTTTATATATCTGAGCCTGTATAATTTAAAAGTCAAAGACATAAACTTTTTTTGTGTATGAAGTATTTTGCTGTTATAAAAGTTTTGGTACACTCATTGTCAAAACTAATGAGAATGAAGTTACTATAAATATTGGATTGTTGTTGAAAAATGTAATAATTCTCCCATTGGACACTGAAAATGACATCAAAGTGAATCCTTAAACCGTCTCAAGAAAATCTATACCAAATAAATTTAAAACTGCAATTGTTGAGAAAATTAACCAATTTTTGAAAGTGAATTTTATTTCAAACATAGAGATGTCAGGAGTTTCAACATTAATTTTGATTTACTAGTTTATCAGTATAAAATTTAGGAGATGTGGGTATGGTTGCCAATGAGACAACTATCCACCAAAGTTCAAATAAAGTGGATGTAATCAATTATAGGCAACTGTACAGCCTTCAACAATGAGAAAAACTCATACTATATAGTCTAACTATTAAAGGCCCCGACATGAAAAATATGAAACAATTCAACTGAGAAAACTATTGGCCTAATTTATAACAAAACAATACTTATAATGCATTTGTTATGGAAATTTGAGTTATTTTCCAGTTGTGATTTTTCTGGGAACTGGGAGATAATCTGGATTGAATAATGTGCCATCGCCCTTACAAATGTATAGTATGTATACTTTGTACATGATAAATAAGATTGTTATGTAAGAAAAGTAATGTTTCATAAAAGTCCGGATGTCTAATGGTTATCAGGTATACTTAAAACCAAAAGAGTAGGTAAACAAAAAATTATAATCAGATTACTGCAGCCTATGACTGAATTGTGAAGTAGTCATGTACCGCTTTGATTATAACTTAGAAATGCTAGGTGCATTCTTTGTACTGATGATGAAGATTGAGAGTTTACCACAGGCACTCAAAACTTGCTACATTAGTGAATCAAACTGCCTTGACAGTGTATGAATGTAAAAGGACAAAATTTACCTTGATCTGTTGCTCACTAGTTATTCTCCTGCTTAAATAAAACCTTGACATACAGAGGTAAAACATTGACGTTTCACACACTATGGCATAACCACAATAAGCTTGATGCAGTTTATGAAGAATCAAGCCGACATGTAGTTGCCGAGAAAATATTACAAAAATTTCATACATGTACATGACATTTAATGCTTTCTGCAAACAGAAGTTGAACATGGATGGACTAAACAGTAAAGCATAAAAATGTGAAAGTTTGTTGCTACATATCAAGAAGCTACGTCTTGTAGTTGCTGAGAAAGATGTGACAAAAATGTGTTGCAGACCATAAATACTTAAAAGTAGTTTTGAATACTGGTCAATTCTTCCTTCAAATTATATTATTTTTCCAGGTATTTACAAAATGGTTGTACTGAAAATATAAGAGATCCTGTGTTTCTCACCTGGTTCTATTTGCATCTTCAACAATTGCTGCTATCCATCATCGCAGAATATATAATAGTTCATGACTAAAATCTCTTTTTAGTTGATCTTGTATTTGCCAAAAAAAAAAAACCCAAAAAATAGTATAAATTATCATTCAAGGGCAATAACCCCTATAAGAAATTGACATACAATTTCTGCTTTGTTGACCTATTTGTAGATTTGTCTAGCTTATCTTTTTTACTGTTTACAGTTTCTCTCTAACAGCTATAGTTTTTGCTCAAAACGAAAAAAAATATGTTAAAAATTGTCAATAAACGGCAATAACTCCTTAGAATCAACTGACAGTTTCGGCTATGCTTACTTATGCTCTACAGCCCTTTTTTAAGAAACTTCTAAAAATGTCCAAAAGTTTGGATCCCCAATTGTCACCTCAAATATCACAGGAAAATATCTTTACAACATTTGGAGGAGCTAAACAATGTCTTTTGCCCAATTCCTTGTAGACTGTATATGTAAACTATTGAAGGCTGTATGGTGACCTATAGTTGTTAACTTCTACTTCATTAGGTCTCTTGTGGAGTGTTGTATTATTGGCTATCGCACCACATTACTTATCTTTATATAGACAACAACCAAGACAAAATACCAATATATTTCTTTGAATTCAAAACAACAGAGCATTTCTTTTTGTAATATATTCAATAGAAAATTAAGCAATATAATATATTTTATTCTCCAAAATAGTATTCCAAACCATCAATTTCCGTGATAAAAACATCACCAGAAACAAAACAGAATAACAATGGGAATTTTACATCAGTAATGTCCCCTGAGATTGTATCTACACCCCCTTAACTTGAAATAGTAAATCAACTGTCTGTAGCTGAAACAAACACTGTCTTTCTCAATGATTAAAATTGAGAATGGAAATGGGGAATGTGTCAAAGAGACAACAACCCGACCATAGAACAGACAACAGCAGAAGGTCACCAACAGGTCTTCAATGCAGCGAGAAATTCCCGCACCCGGAGGCGTCCTTCAGCTGGCCCCTAAACAAATATATATACTAGTTCAGTGATAATTGCCTGGACTGTCAATGCTATACTGAACTCATTGATTCAAATAGCAGTGGTGCACAACCCATGACAGCTCCAAACAGCAGACATATAAACTACCTGGACTGTCAATGCTGTACTGAACTCATTGATTCAAATAGCAGTGGTGCACAACCCATGACAGCTCCAAACAGCAGACATATAAACTACCTGGACTGTCAATCCTGTACTGAACTCATTGATTCAAATAGCAGTGGTGCACAACCCATGACAGCTCCAAACAGCAGACATATAAACTACCTGTACATTAGAGTTTTATATATTGACAGTATACTATTCCAAGATAAGAGTCACTGACAATTCTAGTTAAAGTTGCAAAAGTTTACATCACTCACAATTGTCAAAAGTAATTCAGAGATAGCTCCTCCTAGTGTATGACCTTGAAAATATTCCATTGTGATTAATATTTGCCAACCGATTTATTTTATATCAGACTGCTGACATATTTCACAGCTACAATATCTTTAATATACCCCTTCTGCAATTGGAAATTAAAAAAATTCGTAAGGGTTCTGCGGAACCCAGTGTCTCGCCTACTTTTGCTGTTAATCACAGGCTCAACAAAAATGAGGAAAAAAATTAATAAAAATATTCCTCTCTATAATATCTTTTAATTGTAAGTAGCTTCTGTCCAAGTTTGGTAAAAATCCAGGATAGTTTATGAATCTAATAAATGTTTTAAAAACTTAAACTGCAGACTGTATGTAATGTTAACTGGAAGAAAAACTAAGTCCATTTATAAGTAAAATACGGAAAAAATGGAACAAAATTTTAACAAAATTTCCCTCTAGATACTAGCTTTTAATCATAAACAAGCTTCTGTCCAAGTTTGGTACAAATCCAGGATAGTTTAAGAAAGTTATTAAAATTTTAAAAACTTTAACCACAGAGTGAATGTAATGTTTCCTGGCAGAAAAAACTAACCACAGAGTGAATGTAATGTTTCCTAGCAGAAAAAACTAAGTCCATTTATAAGTAAAATACGGAAAAAATGGAATTTTCTTTTTACAAAATTTACATTTGAATATTATCTTATGATCATAAACAAGCTTCTGTCCAAGTTTGGTAGAAATCCAGGATAGTTTAAGAAAGTTATTAAAATTTCAAAAACTTTAACCACAGAGTGAATATTTGTGGACGCGGCCGATGATGACGACGCCGACAAAAGTCGAAGGCTCAACAAAAAGGATCTGGGATTGACCTAGAGGAAATAAAATCTGATGAAATGATATATAATCAATATCAAAAAAACTTTTTAAACCTAAATGGAGTTCATGATATACCCATATCCAATCATTGAATTAAGTTTGATGGAACTAAATGGTGGTCACAACATCAACATTGCCATATTTGTACTACATTGTACTTCATATGACAGACATACAAACAAAGCTGTTTCCCTTCAAAAACTTTGTAGGAATTGCATAAAAAAGAATCACAAATAAATCAACAGTATATTTTATATTTTCTTTGGTACATTTGCAATGATAGGTTTAGGTCTTGATTTGAATAACAGTTTCTTTTTGATAATAGCTTGGACAGTATATGATGTTTCTTTCTTATTCTGATTTGAATCATCTATGTTAGAGTTATCTCCCTGTTCTCGATGATTTTTCACTAATACAGCAAATGGTTTCTCCATGTTGACTACTTTACCATATAAAATGTGGTGTCCAATGATCAACACTGGCACGTCCTGTAAATATATACATATATTTTACTAATACTAAAATTAAATCAATAAATCAAGATGAACAAGAGTTGACACACAAAAATGTCTTGCCTGATAAAATAATGTTTGAGGGGCACATGTTCATGTACATGACTGTGATTAATTCACATCCAAAGAGACATAAAATCATAATTCAAAGAAAATACCATGATGAAAAAGGAAAATGTGTAAAATAAAACAAATAATAGTCCACAAAACACTACACATTCAACTAAGGGCTGAGCATCAAGAATCACTGCTTGACTAATGGTACTGGTCTTGTGCTCATGGCAAGTAAATTTTAAGTGATAAGACACATTTCAGGAACAGAGGGATAGTTGTTGTCAACAATAATTTGAACATATCCATGGTCATCTGTGACACAGATATTCCTTAAAGGTCAACCAAATCATGATGGTGTCTGTAAAACTTTCCAAAGGCATCATGCATGACTTCAACTTTAACATCTGAAAGCCTTGGTTAAATAGTTTTTTGTAAGCATTGACAGGAAAAACAAGCTTACATTTTTTGTTTGTTTGGTCAAATTCTAAACCTCATTTTCAATGGAATATTATTTGTATTGCAGTATAACATAACCTTATTGAAACATAGGTTTGTTGGGAAAAAGTCCCTTGTACAAAAAAATTTAAAATACAAAATTGTAAAAAAAGTGTATTATAAAATGTACATCTGTCAAGCAAAAAAAAAACAAACAAAAAAAAAAAACCGTCAAAACCTTTCACTTAGAAGGGGGTCTTACTTTGAAACATAAAAACACCAACAGAGAAAAATGGTTAATATATTTTAATTACTTTCTGAGTAAAGTGTAAATCTCCGATAAATTTTCCACCAAGTGGTACTGGATGTCGTGTTTCTAGGTCACCTTGAAGGTCAAGCATTCCCCATTCTTCAACATCTTTTCCATCTCCTGGTCTGTAAAATTAGATAGGCATTTCAAAATGCAAGCAGATAATATACAGCAAATTCAACTTCAAGGTATGAGGTACATTTTGAATGTTAAGAACCATTAATAGTCCAATACTCCCAAAGGGGATTGATTGATGGTTTCAGTTATTTTGGTATGTTGTAGATTTTGTATTGCCCATGATATCTGCAGGGTACAGTTTCTGTCTGTCTATAATAATTTTCAAGATGATAGGCAAAAATGCTAAAATTCAGTGATTGTTGATCAATACTTTGGCTGCTAATGAACTTTCTGGGCTTTTAGTGGCCAAGTTTACTGAATCATAACCTTAATTATCAATATACACAGAAGCATGGAGCATGTGAAAAATAAGTGAGCTGATAGAGCAATGTTTAGCTTTTTTTTATTTTAAATATTTTCCTTGGATCCCATTAGTTAAACTCTGTCATAACTGTTGTGTGATGGTTTTGGTGTATTAAATTTTTTTTCTTGCAGAATAGATTAATACTCTTTTTCCATGTTTGTTTACTTTTTCTTTAATCACAGGTTTTACCTTCATACTTGAGCTATGTGATTGCCAAATTTCTAATGAAACGGGCCATGGTTAATATAAAAATAAGAAGATGTGGTATATGTATGAACTATAGGTCACAGTATGTTTAGGTCACTGCAAATGGAAAAGCTGTCAGCCAAATAGGAGAAGACAATACATATATTTCAATACTATACATTTTTGAAGATTTGGAGAAAATATAGGCTTTTCATTAACATGTTTAAAAAGAAAATCTATGTACACTTGTTTTATATTAAAGCTTATTAGCTTCAAGTATTCATCTTTTTTTGTGTATTTGAAGGATCATATCACCATGTATCACTTTATAGGAAAAAAGGAAATTTAATGTTATGTTTTTAATATGTAAATTGTTTTATCAATTAATGTATTTGTCTATTTGCTAAGACTACCTTTTTAATGTTGTTGTCTAGCTAATTTGTAACATATGTTTAGTATGATATTTATAAATATATTCATTTATCTAATTGATTAACTAATTTTGAACATCTGATGATCGACTGGCTTGTATAAATGTTTGTACACAATGTAAGTCCCAAATCAAAGTTAATTAACTTGTAACTTTATTTAATGGATTCCAATGCAACAGTTTTAAATTTAAAATTATTAATGTACATACCGGTAATGAAAATATAGAGTTATGGTTGTTGACATATGCATTGTTGTCCTGTAGAAACAGTTTTTTTTTCTGATCATGTTGAAATAAGTCAATTTAAAAAATAATATTTTTTCACTGAAAAGGATATTTGTAATGGTCATGATACCATTGATGGTTATTCTTCAGTGATTTGGACATCTTTTTTGTATTTTGTGGGGGTATTTTATGGTAAATCTAAAACTTTTGTACACCGATATAATATTAGCAGAAATTACATCATCCAACAACAAATATCTAGTAAACATGGTAAAAGCGTGATTAAAAAAAAACAAGCCAACTTAAGACGACAGGAGGATATTATTAGGCGGTTGTTATAAAGGGTAATTGTATAATTATATATATCTTGGTTTCCAATTGGTCAATCTTCTTGCTTAAAATAAATGTTTATTTTAAGTTATCTCAATCGTTTTTTTTGGCAGTTTTATATGTTTAGTCCAGAGAAAAGTTCAGCTGAAAAACAGAAACTCTTAGCTCATTAGACATACCTCAAATAACATTTGGTAGATTGTTTATCACAGTATTGATTTACAAATTTACTATCTGGATGTTTACTTCTATTCAGAGAAAAACTAACTGGTTTTTAGGGAAATACTTTTTACAGTTAATCATTCGCTGCGATATTAACATTGCCATAATGTGAGAAGACCAAATAATTTACGTTTGATCTACTTGGCAGGCCTGCTATGAATGGTTCTGACAACAGAAATGGGCGTGCTATACACCATTTAGTAAATAATTTAATGAAGATTTATGACATGATAAGTTTCGGTGAGATAGACAACCGCAGGATCGAAATATAACAAAAGTTCGCGAACTTGTTTATATCATTAAAGTATGGAAGTATTTTTTTTCAAAATCAAGTGCCTGTGGCTGAGGATTTGTATACATTTTGTAGTTATACATTGTCTAACTCATGAACTATACAAATCCTTGCTGAGGCACATACCCATTTCAATTTACGACCCTTTACTAAAAGTTCCAAGGACAAGGTGTCGTATTTATTAAGTTGAATATAATTTTGATGATGAATCGGACATTTCTTTACACAAGTTTTCAGCATAAATTGTAATGCAGTAATGACATACATGCTAACGATTATCTGTACCATTTTCTCCGAACAAAATAAAAGTTCACATTTCCCGCTTTCACAATCTATGGTCAAAACCCGAGAAGGTCCGAAAGGCGAGAATACAATACCAAGAACCAAAGTAGGAAAAGACTCTGCCGGGCAAATTGCGGAGACTACAAGATACGGCAAGATATGTTATTATGCCACAGCGCCCATTCAGTATACTGAGCAAATTAATCGTTATAAAAATAAACAAAATATAATATTTGGAAGTAAATAAAAAAATATTAATAAATAGTGGCAAGAAAAAATAAAAAAAAATTAACCAAAAAAACCCACAAACTTTTCTATAGTCTTATAGTGTAGTGTAAGTCAGTGTCCTCTTTCACAACAATTTGTACACTATATATATTTGTGTGGGTGCGGCTGTGGTTGGGACAGGTGGCAAAAAAAAAGGGAAGCTCAATTCCCAACTTCACCTTTTTTTGCAATTTTTACTACTTCCCATTTTTTTTGTCTTTAAGTTTTCTCCCAAATCCCATCAGTCCAAGATTTTGGACTTCCTTTATTTCTGGTCCACTTAGAGCTTGCTTTTGTGTGGTTCCACTGCATTGCGGTTTGTTTTCCCATTTATAAGCATAAGTATGTTTTACCTTCGTATGCATCGATCGGTATCTTTCTACCAAAACACAATCTTGCATTAGTTAAACAAGAGTGTACTGGCACGCGCTGAAATGTCTGTTTTACTTTAGCAGAGACATACTCTGACTTTATTTATCATGATCAGGGACTTCAGTCTATACTAATACTAACGTTAGTATAGAAAGTCCCTGTCATGATTGAATTTATGTTGAAAGTGTGTAAGATGAAGGTTTTACTACAAGCATCAATAATCAATGTAAAAAGGGCCAAGATAAAATGAACCCTGCCAGACAGATATGTACCGTGGCACCTTACACATATACCACACACAAAATATAGTTATTCTATTGCTTGGGTATCTAAGAAAGAGACCTAATTACGAAAATTGAATATTGACCAATGAACCATAAAAATCTTGTCAAGGTCAGATGAACGCTGCCAGACAACTAGTACACCATACAATCATTCCATAAACCAAATATAGATGAACAATTGCTTATAGTATTTTTTAAAATAAACATACAAAACCAAGGAAACGTAACATTGGTCAATGAACCATGAAAATGAGGTCTACAATAATTCCGTACACCCGACAAAATATAGTTGATCTATTGCTTATAGTATCTGATAAACACACGAAACCATGATAACTTAATATTGACCAATGAACCATGAAAATGGGGTCAAGATCAGATAGAGCCTGCCAGACAGACATGTACAACTTACAATCATCATACAACAAATATAGTGGCCCCATTACTTATATAATCTGACAAAAAGACCAAATAAAAAAAAATACCATTGACCAATGAACCATGAAAATGAGGTAAAGGTCAGATAAAACCTGACAGACAGAGATGTCCACCTAACAATGAGTCAATATACAAAATTGAATCTAGTGGTCCTATTGCTTCTAGAATCTGACAAATAGACCAAATCAGAAAAAAATAACAATGACCAATGAACCATGAAAATGAGGTCAATGTCAGATGGAACCTGCCAGTCAGACACCTTACACAATCATTCCATAACCAAATATAGTTGACTTATTGCTTACAGTATATGAGATACGGACTAGACCACGAAAACGTAACCTCGATCACTGATCCATGGAATGAGGTCTAGGTCAGGTGAACTCTGTCTGACGGACATGTTGAAGTTGCGAGAAACCCATAACCTAATACGGTTATCCACCTACTCATTATACAAGTGAGTATTTCACAAGACAAAGGAAATACCTTTTTTCTCTCAAGGACAATTGACATATGACAGATGAACACTTCGTACATGTAACATAAGGCATTTACATACATGGTATGAATCACCCAGGCCTTCTACCTTCTGAAATATATATACAATATTAGGTCAATGCCAAAAATATCAACTTTTTGTATGAGGCTTGTAACTTGGGAAGGGCGAGGTTTACCGAGCCCTTCAACTGTTTTGTGCCGAATACAAAAAAGTTAGTATTTTTTCTGACATTGACCTAATATTGTTTTTAAACTGCAGCCGAAAATGGCTACACTTATCGTTATGAAATGTTAACACAAAAATAAATCGTATTTTCATCCCTAAATGAACCCCTAATTGTGAAGAAAAGTAACGTGACATATAATCGACATTGCACGAAATATCACTTTGTTGCTAATATTTGGTAGACAAAGACAACAGGAAGCGATCTAGCTGCAGTATAACAAGCCTTATACAAATAGTTAACATGGGATAAGGTAGTAATTAGTAGTTAACTAGCGTATCTCTTTTGCTTTTCTAATATTGATATGTTTGATGTTGTTTTAGTGGTAAAACTTTCTTAGTTACATAATTGTACAGTCCTAACGTGCATTGTTGTTATATATAGGTCCTATACTGATTGCGATAAGGTATATACATGTGTATGTATGCTAGACTGGCTTAAATCTTTGTTAAGAAGTCGAGATATTGCCTTTCATTATAGGGTTTCCTGACATTGGTTTAAGTCAGGATATCAAAATGCAGGATTTTGCAACATTTACCGTCAGATCTTCTGTGGCCCCGAATCCTCTGCCATATAAAACCACTTCTCTGAGATGAAATGGATGGCCGATTAAGGCGACCTGGTCTGGCGTGTTCCAAATGTTGTAGTACATTACACTATTTCAAGCTAGCTACACCATGTCTTGACTGGAATCACGCGAGCTACACATGATTCACACATGTGAGCTACATCATCAAATACCTCTAATTGTTCTGTATGAAACATGTACCTCTAGTTTCTCTAACAAATGTTGTGCACAGTATTCCATCACTATTCAATGATAATCATGCAAAAGTCATGTAATAAGAGTAAATGTTCATAACTTAGTAAAACACTAATGTGAGAATTTTACAGAATAGGCATATTTTTTGTAAAAGAGACTGAAATTACGACATAACACATGTGTTTATATGAGTAATCTCAGAGAGAAATAGCATGAAAAAATTAAAGAATAAAGAAATGAAGACCCACCATCCAGACCCTCATTGTCGCCAAACCGACTTATCCAAAACAAAAAAGTATTCAGTCTCTTGATATGTACATATATACATAATAGTTACTGCTCTCTTCAAGAAACCAATACGAGATAAATGTCTATTTTCGTACATCAGAGCCTCACTGACTAAAAGTCAAACAAAAGTGTTTAAGATACAGCAGAGACGTTTTTGTCAAGCCTTCGACTTTTGTCGAAAAAGCGAGACATTGCGATCCTACATTCCGTCGTCGTCGTCGTCGTCGTCGTCGTCGTCGGCGGCGGCGTCCACAAATATTCACTCTGTGGTTAAAGTTTTTGAAATTTTAATAACTTTCTTAAACTATCCTGGATTTCTACCAAACTTGGACAGAAGCTTGTTTATGATCATAAGATAGTATCCAGAAGTAAATTTAAAAAAAACAAAATTCCTTTTTTTCCGTATTTAACCAGAGATTGTATTATATGTCTCTGATTTAACCAAGGACGTATAACTAACATACGTCCTTGATTTAACTTATACATGGACTTAGTTTTTCTGCCCAGGAAACATTACATTCACTCTGTGGTTAAAGTTTTTAAAATTTTAATAACTTTCTTAAACAGGCTATCCTGGATTTGTACCAAACTTGGTCAGAAGCTTGTTTATGATCAAAAGCTAGTATCTAGAAGGAAATTTTGTTAAAATTTTGTACCTGTTTATCCGTATTTTACTTATAAATGGACTTAGTTTTTCTTCCAGTTAACATTACATACAGTCTGCAGTTAAAGATTTAAAACATTTCAATGATTAGATTCATAAACTATCCGGCCTGGATTTTTACCAAACTTGGACAGAAGCTTCTTACAATCAAAAGATAGTATTGAAAGGAATATTGTTGTTATTTTTCCTCCTCCTTTTTGTTGAGCCTTCGATTAACAGCAAAAGTAGGCGAGACACTGGGTTCCGCGGAACCCTTACGAAGTTTTATACATGACAACACAACCAACGACAAGAACCGGATTGCACCGTGTTTTACCGTGTAGTTTTATTTCTTTGAATCTTAGTATCTTCCCGCGGAAATCATTCGGATTACATCTAACCACTTTGTTTACATCCATTTGTTTACCTCCTGTTGATCTTTAACTAGAAGACTTCACACAGTGGTGTCAGTCATTGTAGTATAGTAAAAGAAAGGTAATTACTCCTTTTCCATCATCTGTCTATTGTATCTTACGTGTTAGTATTTTTTTTCACCGGGAAACTTGTCACAACAAAAGGGTCATATACATCAGAGACACATTATACACGGAATATATTATATTTGTCTCTGTATACATGTATCAGTACATGTATGTAAGATGGCCATTTCCATTCAATATGTTTTGTTGTCCAAATAATTATTATTGACGACATGTTTTTGTGCTCAACAAAAAGAATGGGTTTGTACTTTTCTTTTAAATGTTTTTTGGAAAGACTTCCAAGTGACATTGTGTTTTGTCATAGGCTTGGGTGTCATATAGAAAACTTGCCTATTAATCTACATTAATTAATTAATGACATGGTAGGAGATAATCTAACGTAGCACTGATAATTGATTTATTGTTTGTGTTTAACACCACTTTCATCACACACTATATCATCGCAGCAAGTTTTTGTTTCATGTCATTCAGGCCCAAATAATCAAGGCCATTTTTAGGGTAGTTTATGCCCCTTTTAGAAATAATTAACATAGTAAAATTTATAACTATTTATACTTTAGACAAAGGGTTTGTTTAGACCAAGAGATAAATAGTGGTATACTTAAGAACATTTATGGAAATGGTGGACAATCTATTCAAAGTGAAAATGTTGTGTAATTATTGAGACATATCTTACCCAATTCAGTCGTGTATTTTCCGTGTTTTTTTTCTTCCATTAAATCTAGATTGCCAGGCAGAGGTGTGGATAACAGAGCACTATAAGCAAGAAATAGGAGAAAAACTTGATTTCA